ATTTGGGGACATGGAATATTCATGCCAAGTTTGGTCCAGATCCATCATTGTTTGAGTCCACAGTGCTCTCTGGATGTAGGTGAACTACAACTCCAAAACTTGAGGTCAGTACCCACCAAACCCTTCCAGTATTTTATGTTGGTTGTGGGAGTTCTGTGTGCCAAGTTCGGTTCAATTCCATCATTGGTGGAGCTCAGAATGCTCTTTGATTGTAATGAACTATAAATCCCAACAACTACAACTCCCAAAAGTCAAGGTCTATTTTCCCCAGGCTCCACCAGTGTTCACATTTGCGCATATTGAGTATTTGTGCCAAGTTTGGTCCAGATCCACCATTGTGTGAGTCCACAGTGTTCTCTGGATATAGGTGAACTACAACTCCCAAACTCAAGGTCAATACCCACCAAACCCTTCCAGTATTTTCTGTTGGTCGTGGGAGTTCTGTGTGCCAAAATTAGGTTCAAATCCATCGCTGGTGGAGTTCAGAATGCTCTTTGATTATAGGTGAACTATAAATCCCAGCAACTACAACTCCCAAATGACAAAAATCATAGAATCAAAGAGTTGGAAGAGACCTCATGGGCCATCCAGTCCAACCCCATTCTGCCAAGAAGCAGGAATATTGCATTCAAATCACCCCTGACAGATGGCCATCCAGCCTCTGTTTAAAAGCTTCCAAAGAAGGAGCCTCCACCACACTCCGGGGCAGAGAGTTCCACTGCTGAACGGCTCTCACAGTCAGGAAGTTCTTCCTCATGTTCAGATGGAATCTCCTCTCTTGTCAAACATTATGATTACAGTTCTGAATCTTTGCAAGAAGTGTTATTGATTATCCATTAATTCTTTGGATTGCTGTGAGTTTTCCGGGCTGTTTCCATGTTCCAGAAGCATTCTCTCCTGACGTTTCACCCACACCTATGGCAGGCATCCTCAGAGGTTGTGAGGTCTGTTGGAAACTAGGCAAGTGGGTTTATATATCTGTGGAATGGTCCAGGTAGGGAGAAAGAACTCTTGTCTGTTGGAGGCAAGTGTGAATGTTGCCATTTGCTACATTGATTAGCATTGAACAGCCTTTCAGCTTCAAAGCCTGGCTTCCTCCTGCCTGGGGGAGTCTTATATTTATCTGTGGAATGATGTCCAGGGGAAAGAAAGAGATCTTGTTTATTGGAGGCAAATGTGAATGTTGCCATTGGCCAGCTTGATTAGCATCAAACGGCCTTGCAGCTTCAAAGCCTGGCTGCTTCCTGCCTGGGGGAGTCTTATATTTATCTGTGGAATGATGTCCAAGGTGAGAGAAAGAGTTCTTGTTTATTGGAGGCAAATGTGAATGTTGCCGTTGGCCACCTTGTTTAGCATTGAGTGGCCTTGCAGCTTCAAAGACTGACTGCTTCCTGCCTGGGGGAGTCCTATAATTATCCGTGGAATGATGTCCAGGGTGGGAGAAAGAGCTCTTGTTTAATGGAGGCAAATGTGAAAGTTGCCATTGGCCAGCTTGATTAGAATGGAACGGCCTTGCAGCTTCAAAGCCTGGCTGCTTCCTGCCTGGGGGAGTCTTATATTTATCTGTGGAATAATGTTCAGGGTGGAAGAAAGAAACCTTATCTATTGGAAGCAAATGTGAATGTATTGTCGAAGGCTTTCATCGGAATCACTAGGTTGTTGTAGGTTTTTTTGGGCTATATGGCCATGGTCTAGAAGCATTCTCTCCTGACGTTTCGCCTGCATCTATGGCAAGCATCCTCAAACTCTTGTCTGCTGGAGCTGGGAGGCGAAACGTCAGGAGAGAATGCCTCTAGACCATGACCATATAGCCCGAAAAAACCTACAACAACCCAGCAAATGTGAATGTTGCCATTGGCCAGCTTAATTAGCACTGAACAGCCTTGCAGCTTCAAAGCCTGGCTGCTTCCTGCCTGGGGGAGTCTTATATTTATCTGTGGAATGATGTCCAAGGTGGGAGAAAGAACCCTTGTCTATTGGAAGGGAATGTGAATGTTGCCATTGGCCAGCTTGATTAGCATTGAACAGCCTTGCAGCTTCAAAGCCTGGCTGCTTCCTGCCTGGGGGAGTCTTATATTTATCTGTGGAATGATGTCCAAGGTGGGAGAAAGAACCCTTGTCTATTGGAAGGGAATGTGAATGTTGCCATTGGCCAGCTTGATTAGCATTGAACAGCCTTGCAGCTTCAAAGCCTGGCTGCTTCCTGCCTGGGGGAGTCTTATATTTATCTGTGGAATGATGTCCAAGGTGGGAGAAAGAACCCTTGTCTATTGGAAGGGAATGTGAATGTTGCCATTGGCCAGCTTGATTAGCATTGAACAGCCTTGCAGCTTCAAAGCCTGGCTGCTTCCTGCCTGGGGGAGTCTTATATTTATCTGTGGAATGATGTCCAAGGTGGGAGAAAGAACCCTTGTCTATTGGAAGGGAATGTGAATGTTGCCATTGGCCAGCTTGATTAGCATTGAACAGCCTTGCAGCTTCAAAGCCTGGCTGCTTCCTGCCTAGGGGAGTCTTATATTCATCTGCGGAATGATGTCCAGGGTGGGAGAAAGAACTCTTGTTTAATGGAGTTCATGTGAATGTTGCCGTTAGCCAGCTTGATTAGCATTGAGTGGCCTTGCAGCTTCAAAGCCTGACTGCTGCCTGCCTGGGGAAATCCTTTGTTGGAAGGTGTTAGCTGGCCCTGATTGTTTCATGTCAGGAATTCCCCTGTTTTCAAGGATCAAGGGACATGAAAGGCACTGCAGACTGATCCAAACACAGCCATTGCGGAGCACCCGATGAACCAACCTGGACGCAGCATAGTATTGGAGAACACAGAAATTCTGGAACAGTCTCACAACTATCATGTCCGACTGCACAGAGAAGCCACTGAAATCCACAAAAATGCCCTTCAAAAACAGCCTTAATACCATGTTGAAAGTAAAAGAAAAATGCTTTACTTCAGCAGACACAAAGGATAAGCAAATGCAATTGAAAAGTGCCAAAGAAAGCAAGGCAGTCTTAATCCAGACTCAAATTAAAGTCTCTTACAAAGTCCCAAAAGAATCAGCAGTCTTCCACTAGACAATGGGCAATGATCACTAAGTCCTTAGCAGCAGACACAAAGCAGGTTCCATTGGAGTGAAAACATCAGTATCAGGGTTGTTGTTACCAGCGAAAGCTAACTGCTCCTGCTTCTGATTTATAGCCCTGAATTCCCCACACAGGAGGTGCTAGGGAGTCTCCCAATTAGCTCAGTGTTTTTAGCAGCTATTCTAGCTGAATGCCGTCTCTGCTCTGTCTCTTTTTGTCTCTCTAGAAATGTGGGCACTTTCAAAACCTTGTCGTCTGATTCTTCTTCTCCCTCCAATTTCTGAGCACTTCCCTACTCCCCTTCCTCTTCCGAAGATGAGGAATCCCTAACAAGGAAGCACGTGGACAATTTCAGCAGAAAGGATAAAACCATGAAAATGAATACAATCTGGATAGCAGCCTGATAGGAAACCTGCTACAAAACAGGAGCTTTCTTGTTGAGTTCCAGGGCCAGAGAAGCAGATGGCGGGAACAGAAGAACGGCCTGCCTCAGGGGAGCGTGCTCGCTCCATCCATGTTCAACATCTACACAAATGACCAACCACTGCCAGAAGGGACAGAGAGTTTCATCTATGTTGATGATTGTGTCATCACCGCTCAAGCAGGGAGCTTTGAGATGGTTGAACAGAAGCTCTCCGAAGCTCTAGGTGCTCTTACTGCCTACTACAGGGAAAACCAGCTGATCCCTAATCCATCTAAAACACAGACATGTGCCTTTCATCTTAGAATCCTAGAATCAAAGAGTTGGAAGAGACCTCATGGGCCATCCAGTCCAACCCCATTCTGCCAAGAAGCAGGAATATTGCATTCAAATCACTCCTGACAGATGGCCATCCAGCCTCTGTTTAAAAGCTTCCAAAGAAGGAGCCTCCACCACACTCCGGGGCAGAGAGTTCCACTGCTGAATGGCTCTCACAGTCAGGAAGTTCTTCCTCATGTTCAGATGGAATCTCCTCTCTTGTAGTTTGAAGCCATTAAGAACATACAAGCATCCCGAGATCTGAGGATTATTACCTGGGAAGGAATCCCACTGGAGCATTGCAGCGCACCCAAATACCTGGGAGTCACTCTAGACCAGTGGTTCTCAACCTGTGGGTCCCCAGGTGTTTTGGCCTACAACTCCCAGAAATCCCAGCCAGTTTACCAACTGTAAGATTTCTGGGAGTTGAAGGCCAACAACATCTGGGGACCCCAGGTTGAGAACCACTGATCTAGACCGTGCTCTGACCTACAAGAAGCACTGCCTGAACATCAAGTAAAAAGTGGGCACTAGAAACAACATCATACGAAAGCTGACTGGCACAACCTGGGGATCACAACCAGACACAGTGAAGACATCTTCCCTTGCGCTATGCTACTCTGCTGCTGAGTATGAACGCCCAGTGTGGAACACATCTCACCATGCTAAAACAGGGGATGTGGCTCTTAATGAGACATGCCGCATTATCACGGGGTGTCTGCGCCCTACACCACTGGAGAAATTACACTGCTTAGCCGGTATTCCACCACCTGACATCCGCAGGGAAATAGCAGCCAATAGTGAAAGGACCAAGGCAGAGACATCTCCAGCTCATCCCCTGTTTGGGTATCAGCCAGCATGTCAACAACTTAAATCAAGAAATAGTTTTCTAAGATCTACAAACACCTCAGCAAGCGAGAGTCCAAAAGTGGCAGGCTCAGACCCAGAACCTCAATCAATGGATGACCAAATGAGAGACTCTTTCCTGGGCACACAGAAGACGGGGCGACTTGGAAGGCGCTGAACAGACTGCGCTCTGGCCCCACGAGATGCCGAGCCAATCTCAAGAAATGGGGCCACAAAGTGAAATCCACGACATGTGAGTGTGGAGAAGAGCAAACCACTGACCACCTGCTGCAATGCAACCTGAGTCGTGGATAAAGACGTTGAGGAGTGCGGGGCTCACCTGTTGTGAACGTGGAAAAGAGCCGCGTCTCTCCCCGGGCAAGGGATGTGTAACAGGCCCAGCTGAGATACAGCACCAAAGGGATCCAGACGATGCACACCATGTACCTGGAAGAAGAGAAGAGAAGGAAGGAACGAAGGACACAGTTAAAGCCCTCCCAACAGATGACCATCCAGCCTCAGTTCAAAAACATCCAAAGACGGAAACTCCACCAGACTCCCATGTACTCTATACTTCACTAGGATTGGAAGGGGTCCCCAAAGGGCAGCTAATCCAACCCTTTCTGGCATTAAAGAAGACACAGTTAAAGCCCTCCCAACAGATGACTATCCAGCCTCAGTTCAAAAATATCCAAAGACGGAGACTCCACCAGACTCCCATGCAGTCTATATTTCACTAGGATTGGAAGGGGTCCCCAAAGGGCATCTAGTCCAATCCTTTCTGCCATTGAAGAAGACACAGTTAAAGCCCTCCCAACAGATGGCCATCCAGTGTCAGTCCAAAAACATCCAGAGGAGAAAACTCCACCAGACTCCCATGAAGTCTATGCTTCACTAGGATTGGAAGGGGTCCCCAAAGGGCAGCTAATCCAACCCTTTCTGGCATTAAAGAAGACAGTTAAAGCCCTCCCAACAGATAGCCATCCAGCCTCAGTTCAAAAATATCCAAAGACGGAGACTCGACCAGACTCCCATGCTATCCATACTTCACTAGGATTGGAAGGGGTCCCCAAAGGGCATCTAGTCCAATCCTTTCTGCCATTGAAGAAGACAGTTAAAGCCCTCCCAACAGATGACCACCCAGCCTCAGTTCAAAAATATCCAAAGACGGAGACTCTACCAGACTCCCATGCACTCTATACTTCACTAGGATTGGAAGGGGTCCCCAAAGGGCATCTAGTCCAATCCTTTATGCCATTGAAGAAGACAGTTAAAGCCCTCCCAACAGATAGCCATCCAGCCTCAGTTCAAAAATATCCAAAGACAGAAACTCCACCAGACTTCCATGCACTCTATACTTCATTAGGATTGGAAGGGGTCCCCAAAGGTAATCTAGTCCAACCCTTTCTGGCATTAAAGAAGACAGTTAAAGCCCTCCCAAAAGATAGCCATCCAGCCTCAGTTCAAAAATATCCAGAGATGGAGACTCTACCAGACTCCCATGCAGTCTATATTTCACTAGGATTGGAAGGGGTATCCAAAGGGCATCTAGTCCAATCCTTTCTGCTATTGAAGAAGACAGTTAAAGCCCTCCCAACAGATGGCCATCCAGTGTCAGTCCAAAAACATCCAGAGGAGAAAACTCCACCAGACTCCCATGAAGTCTATGCTTCACTAGGATTGGAAGGGGTCCCCAAAGGGCAGCTAATCCAACCCTTTCTGGCATTAAAGAAGACAGTTAAAGCCCTCCCAACAGATGGCCATCCAGTGTCAGTCCAAAAACATCCAGAGGAGGAAACTCCACCAGACTCCCGTGAAGTCTATGCTTCACTAGGATTGGAAGTTTCTCAAGTCGCTCCTGACACGAAAAAAATACTTTACATTTATTATTATTATTATCTAAATTAATTATTTACATTTATTGTTATTACTAATACTATTTATCATTATTATTACTACTATTATTAAAAATAATTATTACCACTATTATTAAAATATTATTTCAATTTATTATTATTATTACTATTATTATTAGACATTATTATTACTATTACTATTAAATTATTATTAACCTATTATGCCATTATTATTATTATTTCTGATCAGATTCCTCTCCGGCAGCTCACATGTCTTGGCATGCCCACTTCCACCTTCAACTAAGATTCTTATTTAGAATTTGGAAGACCATCTGTCAGGAGGGCTTTGATTGTGTCTTCCTGCAGAAGGCAGAATAGGGTTGGACTAGATGACCCCTGGAGTGCCCTCCAACTCTGTTTGCCCCCATATCCCCCAAATCTCACCATGCCGTTTTGGAGAGGGACTCGATGAAGTCGGAATGGAAGAGGCGGATGGGGCGGTTGACCGGCTGGTGCACCCACTCGTCGTACTTTTCCCCCAAATGGCCCACTTGCCACAGCAAAGGCTTCCGCCAGTCCACAAGGTCCTGGAAAACACAGGAAAGCGTCAATCGCAATTGCACAATGTAAATAATAAAGGCAATTGAGTCCAACAAACTTACAAAGCAGCGCTCTCGCCCAGAGATTCCTCCCCATTGCCCTCTTGTATTGCAAGCATCAGTTGCAATTGCACAAAGCACGCCAATACAAATAATAAAGGCAATCAAGCATGAACTTACAAGGCAGCGCTCTCACTCAGAGATTCCTCCCCATCTGTTGGGGTTCAGAGTCCGTGTGAACCTGAACCTGATTCTCTGATTGTATTTCCTGTTGCAACGGAACAGGCTACTGAACATGAATTTGTCCCTGAAGGTTTGGAAATGGTTGATTCTGAGATCAGTGGCTTGGAAAGTGAAACTACGCATCCTGATGGGAATGTTTCTGAATCAAGTGGTGATAGCTCTCCAGAGGAGCTAACACCTGGCTTCCTTAATGAGGATAGAAAAAGACGGATTTGGAAAAACAAGAGTGAATCGCAGAGTCTGCGAAGGTCAAGCAGATTAAAGGAAAGGGAGGCACAGGCTTCAAAGCCTGGAGGCGTGTCCCGAAACAGTTTCTTTAGATTTAAGTGTCTCTCCCCAGGCTCTCTCGTTAGATCAAGCAACGTTTAGACCAGGGGTCCTCAAACTTTTTAAACAGAGGGCCAGGTCACAATCCCTCAAACTGTTGGAGGGCCGGATTATAATTTGAAAAAAACATGAATGGATTCCTATGCACACTGCACATATCTTATTTGTAGTGCAAAAAAACACTAAAAAAATACAATAATTAAAATGAAGAACAATTTAAACAAATATAAACTTATTATTATTTAAAAGGGAAGTGTGGGTGTGCTTTTGGCTGATGAGATATGATTGTTGTTGTTGTTGTTGTGTGCTTTCAAGTCATTTCAGACTTAGGTTGACCCTGAGCGAGGGCCGGGTAAATGACCTTGGAGGGCCGTATCCGGCCCCCGGGCCTTAGTTTGAGGACCCCTGGTTTAGACTGAGGCATTACCTTGGCAGATTTACCGGTTCCCATGGCCTGCATTCCCAGAGGCTTCTAGTTTCCAAGTACGGTTAGTGAAATGCTAACAGGTTCCAGGTTTTTATAGTGTTACTTTTGGAATTTTGATCTAGTTCATAGATATTCCTGACTGATGGATTTTACTGTGGCTTTTTGGACTTTGTATTTTCCTCTATTTTGTAACCATTTTTCATCAATAAAAAAGGATTGTTTTTTTCCTACAGTCAAGTGTGGTGGATTAATATCTTATGGTCTTGTTTCCTGATCTGGGTTGCAACACCATCACTGTCTTGTATTGTAAGCATCAACTGCAATTGCACCATGCACGCTAGTACAAATAATAAAGGCAATCGAGTCCAACGAACCATTATACGTACAATCAAAAGACTTACAAGGCAGCGCTCTCACCCAGAGATTCCTCCCCGTCATTGTGCTGTATTGTTTAAATTGCATTTTTAAAGAAAACCAAGTCCAACAAAGTAGTGTACAAACACACACGCAAAATTTACAAGGCGGCGCTCTCGCCCAGAGATTCCTCAATTCCACCTATTGTTGCAAGTTCAACAAGCCAATATACATACAATCACAACATTTACAGGGCAGCGCTCTCGCCCAGAGAATCCTCATTGCCACTTACATTCCTAATTGTATTTTTTAAATGTTTTTTACGTTTGCCTGTTTTTCATATGGTTGATAGTTTAATTGCCTTTTCATGATTCTCTCTCTCTCTCTCTCTCTCTATATATATATATATATATATAACATCTATAATATATATATGTCGGAATCCAGACGCCTTAAGGAGCCAGACTCAGGAGTATGTCCAAAAGTAGATTTTATTAATACAAAGTAAAAGGGACTCAGAGACACTTACTTCAGTGTCCCTGGTCAAAACTCAAAAGCAACAGCAAGTTCCAATTCAAAAGCAAACTGAAACAATAATCCGGATTCTCATAGGAAACCTGCTACAAAACAGGAGCTTTTTTGTTGAGTTCCAGGGCCAGAGAAGCAGATGGCAGAAACAGAAGAACAGCCTGCCTCAGGGGAGCGTGCTTGCTCCATCCATGTTCAACATCTACACAAATGACCAGCCACTGCCAGAAGGGACAGAGAGCTTCATCTATGCTGATGATCGTGCCATCACCGCTCAAGCAGGGAGCTTTGCGATGGTAGAACAGAAGCTCTCCGAAGCTCTAGGTGCCCTTACTGCCTATTACAGGGAAAACCAACTGATCCCTAACCCATCTAAAACACAGACATGTGCCTTTCACCTCAAGAACAGACAAGCATCCCAAGCTCTGAGGATTATCTGGGAAGGAATCCCACTGGAGCATTGCAGCGCACCCAAATACCTGGGAGTCACTTTGGACCGTGCCCTGACCTACAAGAAGCACTGCCTGAACATCAAGCAAAAGGTGGGTGCTAGAAACAATATCATACGAAAGCTGACTGGCACAACCTAGGGATCACAACCAGACACAGTGAAGACATCTGCCCTTGCGCTATGCTACTCTGCTGCTGAGTACGCATGCCCAGTGTGGAACATATCTCACCACACTAAAACAATGGATGTGGCTCTTAATGAGACATGCCACATTATCACAGGGTGTCTGCACCCTACACCACTGGAGAAATTACACTGCTTAGCCGGTATTGCACCACCTGACATCCGCCGGGAAGTTGCAGCCAACAGTGAAAGGACCAAGGCAGAGACATCTCCAGCTCATCCCCTGTTTGGGTATCAGCCAGCATGTCAATGACTTAAATCAAGAAATAGTTTTCTAAGATCTACAGAGATACTCGCTGGAACAACTCAGCAAGCGAGAGTTCAAAAATGGCAGGCTCAAACCCAGCACCAGATACCAGATGAGAGATACCTCTCTGGGCACACAGAAGACTGGGCGACTTGGAAGGCGCTGAACAGACTGCGCTCTGGCACCACGAGATGCAGAGCCAATCTTAAGAAATGGGGCTACAAAGTGGAATCCTCAACATGCGAGTGTGGAGAAGAGCAAACCACTGACCACCTGCTGCAATGCACCCTGAGCCCTGCCACATGCACAATGGAGGACCTTCTTGCGGCAACACCAGAGGCACTCCAAGTGGCCAGATACTGGTCAAAGGACATTTAATACAATACCAAGCTTGCAAACTCTGTTTTTTCTGTTTGTTGAAAATTTGTTTAAAATGTAATACAATTTCCTTGTTGATACTGACATGATAGATTCATGATTTTTAATTTGTTATTTACATATGAAATCTTAAACATTATTACTTAATATATTAATTTGATATTTACATGTGAAATGATATGCAATATTTAAACATTAAATATGAATTAAATATTGAATATTCTTTAATATGGTTTGATATTATCATAAATTTTAAATATTTAAATATTAAATCCATTCTTCTATCTTGCACCACGAGGATGTTGAAGCGAGCTGTAAAACAATCGCGGAAGTCGTTTCTGGGGGGATTCGGAACGCCGAATTCCTATATAACAAGCGTACCTATTAAAAAGTTATTTATGGTAGTGTTTCTCAACCTGAGGGTCGCGACCCCTGGAGGGGTCGTGGGGGGTGTCAGAGGGGTCACCAAAGACCATCCAAAAACAGTATTTTCTGTTGGTCATGGGGGTTCTGTGTGGGAAGTTTGGCCCAATTCTAACTTTGGTGAGGTTCAGAATGTTCTTTGATTGTAGGTGAACGATAAATCCCAGCAACTACAACTCCCAAATGCCAAGTCTATTTTCCCTACACTCCACCAAAGTTCACATTTATGCTCTTTGATTGTAGGTGAACTATAAATCCCAGCAACTACAACTCCCAAATGCCAAGTCTATTTTCCCTACACTCCACCACATTTGGACATATTGATTTGCATGCCAAGTTTGGTCCAAATCCATCATTGTTTTGGACATATTGGACATATTGATTTGCATGCCAAGTTTGGTCCAAATCCATCATTGTTTTGGACATATTGGACATATTGATTTGCATGCCAAGTTTGGTCCAAATCCATCATTGTTTTGGACATATTGGACATATTGATTTGCATGCCAAGTTTGGTCCAAATCCATCATTGTTTTGGACATATTGGACATATTGATTTGCATGCCAAGTTTGGTCCAAATCCATCATTGTTTTGGACATATTGGACATATTGATTTGCATGCCAAGTTTGGTCCAAATCCATCATTGTTTTGGACATATTGGACATATTGATTTGCATGCCAAGTTTGGTCCAAATCCATCATTGTTTTGGACATATTGGACATATTGATTTGCATGCCAAGTTTGGTCCAAATCCATCATTGTTTTGGACATATTGGACATATTGATTTGCATGCCAAGTTTGGTCCAAATCCATCATTGTTTTGGACATATTGGACATATTGATTTGCATGCCAAGTTTGGTCCAAATCCATCATTGTTTTGGACATATTGGACATATTGATTTGCATGCCAAGTTTGGTCCAAATCCATCATTGTTTTGGACATATTGGACATATTGATTTGCATGCCAAGTTTGGTCCAAATCCATCATTGTTTTGAGTCCACAACTTCAAAACTCAAGGTCAATGCCCACCAAACCTTTCGAGTATTTTCTGTTAGTCATGGGAGTTCTGCGTGCCACGTTTGGTTCAATTCTATCATTGGTGGAGTTCAGAGTGCTCTTTGATTGCAGATGCTATAAATTCCAGCAACTACAACTCCCAAATGATGGAATCAATCCCCCCTCAATCCCACCAGTATTCGAATTTGGGCATATCAGGTCTTTGTGCCAAATTTGGTCCAGTGAATGAAAATACATTCTGCATAACAGTAGCAAAATTACAGTTGTGAAGTAGCAATGAAAATAATGTTATGGTTGGGGGTCACCACCACATGAGGAACTCTAGTAAGGGGTCGTGGTACTTGGGAGGTTGAGAACCACTGATTTATGGCCACCAAGGACTGTCCAGGTGAATGGCTTCATG